TACAAACTTTAGTTAGTTAGAAAGGAAAGTCTGATTACTTGACTAGTAACTTTCGCAAACTGTGGCCGACGCGCTTCCAATTTCTTTTCTACTATCTTAAAAACCTCCAAGCAATATGCAAAAATACTAACCTTTAACTATTTTCTGATTTGAATTCCTTCACATAAAAATAGTAAAAACGTCTCTGTTTTGGAAAATAGAAACTATTGAAAGTTGAAGAATTGAATTTTAATTGTTTTTATACACGTGGTTGTTTAGAGAAAAATGATCTACGTTATAAACAACCAATCACACTATAAACATTATTTGTTATATCTCATACTGTTCTCATAACTAACATTCGTACTAGGCACGTGTATGCATCGTAGGTCATTTGTCATGCACATTGATTTTATATATCGGTATATATCGGTAAATCTGCGGTAACATATCAAAATTATCGTATTTTTGTATAATGACCAAATCAGAAGGAAAACCACCGCTTCGAACTCAACGAGAAACATGTTGGAAATTACGAGATGAATATTTTTCATGTCTTGAATCAGTTTCGATATTTGATCCTACGAAAGTAGATACTGATGAATCAATAAAAAAGTTAGTAAAGAAAAGTAATTGTTGGAAGAAAAAAGGTTCTTACGAAGATGCTTGTATGACAAGTTGGGTAAGATATTTTTGTTTTTTATTTAAGAAAATTTTATGAATTAGATGGTTTTTTTTTCAATGTTGCCACACAGATTTTATAATTTAAAAGGTGGATTATTTTAATAAACGACGTGCATTGGAGATCAGGCAACGCCAAATCTCAAATGAAGCAATAAAACGATCTGAAGAAGAATCCGAAAGTAAATAGATATACCAATTTCATTATAAAGAACGGCGCTTTTCATACTTTCTTTACATACGAAATGAATATACGGAATTTGTAAATTAAAAAAGTTACTGTTGTAATTTTTGAAATGTATATCAATCTATATAATTTATATGGATTAGATATTATAGAATAATAGAATCAATACGAGCAAATATGATATGGTAAATTATCTTAATTTTCAGAAAAGCTAGTTATACATAAATCTTTAAAGATATTGTTATTACAAACACTCTACAGCATAATAAAAATAAATAAAACATTATTAATATAAAGTAATTATGCGCAGCAATGACATGCTCGTTTTCTCGTTTGTTATGCAAAGAAAATTGGCTCAACAGCGTAACACAAAGCGATCAATTTGACTTGAAAAAAGTTGTTTCATTTCCCATGCACCATGACATAAATTTGTCAATTTTAGTGTTTTATCTCTATTATTTAGTT